GTACGTGTGTCCAACGTTAGCATTTAACTTAATTTGGTCTTGGTCTTTTTGAACTATACCAAATAATTAACGACGTTAGCATTTAACTTAATTTGGTCTTAGTCTTTTTGTTTTTACATAAATAATCACTTAAACTACACCAAATAATTAACGAGAAGAATTTAATTCAAATGTATTTTTAATTTTACTTTTTTTTTTTTTTTACTTTTTTTAAAATAGGATTCTAAATTTGAAGATTATGCTTATTTTGTAACAAATATTGATTTATTGATTTATTGAGCTTTTTCGACCCCTGGTAGGTAAATGATGGAAAAAAATCCAAGAAAAAAAAACAAATAGTTTCTGAAGAAAACACAGCATTATTCGACTGATTCGTTCTTGCTCAGAACCACAAATAGGGTGATATTAAAAACCTTCCCGAAGCGGAACGCCGTCCCCGACACTTACATGAACAAACAATCGTTCACGCCTCACAGACATCAACTTACAGTGAAGATGGAGGTGACGTCTTACCGCCCTGATGTGCAGACTGAGGTTTAGGAGCAAAAAAAAAATCACATTAACCATTTAAGGGTTGCCGACCCCTGAACTCTACGAAGGCAAGTTCGCAGCTTTATTTTTTCGTCGTAAAGGCCCAGAACAGACCACAGAGCCCCGCTCCCGTGTCTGGACTTAAGCAGATGAGATTTAGGACCCTAAGTGTTCTCGTCAGGGAGGGAATGATTGGCCTGATTAAAATGAACTGGAACCAAAAAAAAATTACAGTCAGTCAATTGGATCACAACGGCTGCAGAGAGGAAACAGGAGGGTTGGATGAACGTTCCCACAGAAACGATTACACTTACCATGGGGGATGATAACTATAATTATAACAGCCGCTGCTTACTGGGATCATTAGCAGTCACAAAAAAAAAACAAAAAAAAAACTACAGAGTGTCCAGAACAAAATTGGGAATTAAGTGAAGCTAAAACCACCCTCAGATCTGGGCCCCTGGATCTCGACACTAAGGGAAAATGGTTTGAATGTATGAACACAGTGACACAGCAGGACATGGTAGAAAAATGAAGTTCCCACTGCAGGAATCAGACAAACAGAGACAGTACCAGGAACTGTGTACTTCCTGGTTTAGGGTTTGGTTTACGGTTTGGTTCCACAAACTAAATGTGAATTTTTTTTTTTTTTTTTAATGAAGGAACTGATACCAAGTGGCGCTTTGGCCCAGAGGCAATGTCTCTGTCATTGGTGTGGAACCCCAGGGTTCACCTCCTGGGCAAGTTCGAATCCCGGTTGGGGCTGTTGGTACCTTCCAGTGGACTCACTACCTGCAGGAAGGTTTGGGGGGGGTTGGTACGGTGCAGTGTGATTTGGGTGGCGGTCATAGAGACCGCTGCCCCCCCGACTCGGTAACGGATAAGCGGATGAAAATGGATGGATGGATGGAACTGATACCAGGAACTAATTGCATTTCCAGCACAGATTCCCTGGTCCAGGAAATACATCGAGTACCAAGAAATTTGGAACCATACGAGGATCTGATCGTCCTTCAGCCTGACGACTTTCAAGTCGGGAATGAACCAGAGGCACATTCTCATCATAGCAGGAGGAACTATTTATGTTCTCCCAGGAGTGGGTTTTCTAGGACTGCAGAACTCCTTACGACCCCCCGAAAAGTAATACGCGGAAGAAGACTGCATAAATACCGAGTCGAGAAGTCCGACTTTGATTTCGTTGATTCTGATTTTGAAAATTGTAAAATAGAAGTTCTAAAAAAAAAAAAAAAAAAAAAGTCGTCCTCCTTCAACTGGCCGCAGCAGGCGAAGAACAGAGAAGGAAGTGATAATGAACCATTTAGCCGTTAGCTCAGAGCTGAAGTCAGAGGACAGACGCGAAGATACGTCGAGACGTTAACCCGAAAAAGATACGGTTGAGTCCGAACCGTTGAGTTCCTGCTGGGAAACAATCGAGAAGTGCGCGGAGACCTACCCTGGACCTGACCTTGGACACTCGTCCCTGGACTACACTGAACAGACTGGGGGATCTAACCTTCGGAGCGTCAGAGTTCTGAGCGTCATCAGATAGAAGATAGAAGGTATAGAAAACACGGAATGACGTGTGTTAACGTTCGCCGTTATTTCCATCAGATACGATGGGGAAAAAAGGGTTCAGGGAATTTTGAAAAACGGTCCCACACTCCACGTAATCTCTCTGTAGCCTTGGCATCTCCGCGCGCGCTCGCTCTCACCTGTGTGTATCCCAATCCGGAGTCTCAGCTGGTCGTTGGGTCTGTGGCGGATCTTGAAGGTCTTGACCTGCTCTAACAAGGCCAGCGACATCCCCGCAATCTCTCTGGCGTGAAGTTTCCCGTTCCGTACCGGTAGCCCAGACACCACCATGTAGGCGTCTCCGATGGTCTCCACCTGCAGGGGCGAGTCAATGAAATTCAGAAATCGCCTGAGACGTCAATGTCCGGGGGGCCTGTCGCGGCGGCGGCGGCGGCGG